GCCCAGTTGTCCAGTCTGTCCAGGTCCCTCTGGATGGCAGCGCAGCCCTCTGTGGCATCAGCTACTCCTCCCAGTTTGGTATCATCAGCAAACTTGCTGAGGGAGCACTCTGTGCCTTCATCCAGGTCATTGATGAGTAAATTGAACAGGACTGGACCAAGGACTCACCCCTGGGGGACCCAGCTAGCTACAGGCCTCCAACTAGACTCTGCACCACTGATCACCACCCTCTGAGCTCTGCCATGCAGCCAGTTCCTAATCTACCTCACTGTGCACTCATCTGTCCCACACTTCTGGAGCTTGCCCAGGAGGATGTTGTGAGGGACAGTGTCAAAAGCCTTGGTGAAGTCAAGATAGAAGATAGACAACATCCACCGCTCTCCCCTCATCTATCCAGCTGGTCATTCCATCATAATATTCCTCTGCTTAAGCTCTCAAAATGGGGAATCCTGCACTTGGATGTAGCGCAAACATACTGCCTTAACAAATTTCAGCACCATCAGGTCTTTCAAAGGTCATCTAGTGCCATAGGGTAAATTGAAGCTCAGATTGGAACTCTACCATGGAAACTACTCATTATAAAAATTATTTTTGCTGAAAGATTCTTATCTACTGAGTTAGTCATGTAATTTTATGCAGCTACATTATATATAAAATGTACCCTGGACCTACTCTCTACTCTGGTCTTGGGAGGTGCGGTGTTTTTTGAGAAACTGATATGATCCTCCTTGAGGAGAGCGAAGTCCATGTACTGGCTTATCTGCTCAAATAAAAAAAAGATAGTCACGTGTAGATGCTTTTATATAGGATTTCTGATCTATCAAATCAGATCTATCTTTGCCCTACTTTTTTAACCAGGTGTTATCTTTCTCTGCTATCCATCACAAGCTTCTTCATGTTTTTCTCCCCTATTCTTCTATGAAAAGCCTTTCTTTTTCTTATGTCATACCAACACTTTTCTAACCACAGGCCTAGTTCTCAAGCTTTACCAAGCTTTATCCCCCTTTTCATTTTCTTTGTTTGTTGAAGTAGCTCATAAATTTCTATCAGCAGGTTTACTTTTTTTTTTTTTAATTGAAAACAGGAATGTTGGTTCAGGAATGAAATTTACTATCCTGGAGTCAATCTGCTGCAGTACTACAATTTTTATAAGTCCTAGTGGAAAAAAAAAAAGACTTTTTGCATGTTTGTTGTGAAAAAACTCTTTGATATGAAAGGAGTTCAGAGAGTAAAAATCTCCCCTTTTTTGTTGAGTGTTTTGATCAAAAGTACAAAAAAAAGTTGATGTTTAAACATCAACCTGTCACCTATAAGCTTGAACATCAATATCCCCCTTCATATAAATCAAAGACAGTGTCACTGATGTAGCAGAGAAGACTGGAAAAAGGAGGCTATTTGTCTTGGCTCATAGGAAGCTGCTGTGCTAGCTAATTTGGCTTGACTGGTCCAGCTCAATGCAAAAATTTGCTTTATGTTCTAGTCCAGTTTATACAGACTGACCTATATTTGCATTGAATACTTATTTATCTGATAAAAGCAGTCTGTAAGCTCACCGATATTTTGTTTCTCAGATGCCATGTTGGGAGTGTTAATACAGGCTTATCTAAATGGGGAAGTTGCACTGCCCATCAGCAATTACAGAGTTTAATTACCAGCTTGTTTTTTAAGTAATGAATTAAAGGATCAAACCATGCATAAGTGATATCATAGGCAACAATTATGGTATTGCAGCTCCCACTTAGAAATAAAATATTCTTAAATGTGAAACTGCCAGAGAAACTATGGATTTCATTACTGCTTTAACTGCCTCTGCTTGGAAAACACAGGGAGATGTTAGCTATTCAATTCCCTAATTTACATTTTTTATAGAAGTGAAAATTCAATGTCATAAAGGCATAGTTAACCACAGCATTGTAGCAGCAGCATTTTATTATTTTTAATTGCAAATTACAGTTGTGCTTCAACATTATGTGAGTGTGTTGCTGGCAAGTGTGAAGGTCCAATCCTCCTCAGCAGAGTGGCAGTGAAGGAGGTGTCACCTCGTGGGGCCGCATCACTGCCATGCGTGGATCATCTGTGGCTTACATGATTGTGTGGAACCGGCTTGTGGGTGGCTGGGCGCCCAAGAGCACCTACATATTGAAAGGATGAACAAGCCCCTACCTGTGCATTTTGGGCATGTGAAAGTTATGCAGGCAAATATACCCTTTTTTCCCCCTTAGTTGTTATTGTGATAAACTCTGAATGTAGTAGATTGACTGATAATGCTGAGGTAGGGTTGGAGATTATTTAGGGACTTGCTGCTATGCTCTTCTTCCAGGCTATCTGGATTTGAGCATCTCAAAACAGAGGATTGTCACAGATGTTGTCTTCTAGTCATACATTTGTCCTTTTTATACGATAAGTGTGGTCTGCCTTCCCTGTTGGATATGTTTCTCAAGGATCAGTTTTGATTTTATTTCTTATTTTTGAGCTGTGTTAGTAAAACTTTCCGTTAACACAATTTTGGAGGTATTGCCACTGCATAAGCATGCTGAAATATGAAGAGCTATTTAGGCATGAGGTCTGCAGTAAAAGTAGGGGGTATTAAATTCATGATTACAGAGTTCAAGGTCATGCACTAAGGGGCTAAGCTTCCACAAGCTATAGGTTCACTGAGAATAAACAAGTAGAGAATGGAAATTTCTAAGCCACCAGTGACAAGCCGACCCACCAGCGTGTTGTACATAGAAAAGGCAAGAGTAAGGTAATCTAAATGCAAGATATTTTCTGCTGAAGAAAAGTACTAATGCTACTGTTCCAAGCAACAGTAAGAACATGTCTGAAGTATTGTGTATAGTTGTGGTTATTCGGATTCAAGAAAGGTTTACTTAGGAGGGCACAGATGCAAAAGAAGTCTACTAGGAAAGTTCAGAGTAGAAGAATTTGCCTTGTTTAGGCTAGTAAAACAAAGGCTGGTATATGTACTACTGCCTATGAAAACATCAGGGAAGTAAACACCAGGGAAAGAAAAGTGCTATTTAAGGATAAAGCTGGCTAAGAAAGAATGATTATAAAATTTTTATGAATAAACTTAAGGTGGCAATTGGAATATCATTTTGAATCATGGAAGGGATGTGACTCGACATATTTTTCGATAAGTGCAGTGCATGTCAGAAAGCAAACTACTTTTAAGATGGAAGATGGTAAATTAATGAATGGTTTGATATGAAGTGGTACTATGTAGGTTTGAGGTGGTTTTGTGGTGAATTGACATGTTGATATTTATACTATTTAGCATGTGGTGTAATACGTTAATTTGTCTACATCATAGTGCACCAGATTAGCTAACATTGTGTTATTTTTACGTGCTTGAAAACCTGGGAATAAGATAAGAAGGTTCTCACATTTATACGCTTAAGCTTCTTCTATTACTCTCTTGCATCAGCCCAAATGACCCTTGTGGGATGGTACTCTACTGCCAAAGCAAATGTCTTTTGTATTCTTAGGGGTAATTCTGTTTCTTCTAGTTTAACTAAAACAGCACTTTACAGCAAAGAGGACAAAACGGTCAGCTTCTTAAAAGGACAGAGCTGAGTTTTGAAATACAATTTCGTTTTGAACTTCTGGTAGAGCTGCATAAATGGGAAGAAAAGAGGCTTGCTTAGCTGAGGGGAAGCTTCCATGTATTTTGTTTCCTGCAACCTGCAGAGATTAATCCAGCAGAGTATTCCCCATACTTGGCTTATCTGCCACCTGGAGAAAGATTTGGGTGCTCCAGCTGCTGTCCAAAGAAATGCTGTGTCCAGTGGGCTCTGTGAAGTCTGTGCAAAAAGCTGGCCTGTGAGTATAGGCCATCAAATTATGTATTGCTTTTGCCAACAGAGAAAATTTTTCTCAGAGGAAAATTGCAGGGCTTTCATTTCTGTACATTTCTGCTCTGTCCTGTGGGAGTGCTCTCTGGCCTACACTAATGATTTCAACAGGTTGCAAAAGGTGAGCAGCTCCAAAACAAGTATTTTGGAGGGAGTTTAAGTAGATTTCTATTGTACCTTAAGGATAAGATTACTGTTATGACATTTTTGAGCACTTGCTCTGTATTGTAAAGCAGTTCTCTACGATGCTGTTCAAATCCCATGAAAGCACATATTTTTCTCTAAAAATTGCATTATAAACAGAAGACAATGATATAATATAAACTAGTGCCTCTGTAATATCAGCTAAGTGGTGATTTGCTTGATAGAATGCTTTTATAGACAAAGATTAACACTTATTATATGTCTTTACGCAGTTTGCCTGTATGAAGCCTGCTTTGATAACTTATTGAGATGCATGATGCTATTCACACCCTTAGTTCTAATTACTGAATTGGATTTAAGTTTCTTGCTTTCCCTCATGATGCTTTATTTGATCACTGGTAAGAGGGGAAGATCATCTATATAAAACAGCAGGACAGCTGTTCACAGAACAGTCTCTTGTCTTTGTTATGACAATGTTTAAGAATCCCTTTGCTAACATTTCAGCTATTCAGTATATTTAAATGCCAAACTTTCTTCTTCTTTGAATATGTCACAGTATAATTTCCATTTTTTGCGGTATAATGTATTTTGCATTTTAATGATGTTTCTAGACCTGCTTTTACTGCAGATTATGTAATGCTATAAATAGAAGAAGCTGGAAGTACAATGTGACTAAACACGTCCTAAAATATCAGCAGGGCCCCAAAATTAGGCTGACAATGAATCCATGCAGTAAAGTAAACAATGAAACAAACACAGAGTCCCATTATCTTTTATAATCAGACAGGACTATTAAAATCACTGCTATTTAAATCAAAAAGGTATGCGATGCTGGATGCAGCAAATGCAGTTCTTATTGTCTACCAGTAAGTTTGGTAGGTGCAACCGTGTGCTATGAATGTGCTCTGTAATGAACCCTAAGATGCTCCTCAACCAGAGAACAAGTAAATCCATCTTAAGTGGCTGGGCCAAAAGCCAACTTCTCCCATTTCTCCCAAGGTAAATGGGAACCTTATTACGAGTAAAATCAAGGTCTCAGCAAATCTTTGCTGCCTCTTGGCAAAGCTTTCCTGAGTCCCTTGCTGATTATAAGGGAAGGCTGCAAATAGAGTGCTGGATAGCAGTTTTGTTCCAATAATGGCTGCCTGTTGCTGAAAGTGTTTATTCATGATTTATTCATCATTGTATTGAGGATTTTTGTTTTTGTAGCTAAACAGAGTGTACTTTTTGTTTCACTTTAGCCTTTTGTATTTT